TAATATATTATAAAAAATATTATTTAGTGCCTAGCATCACGGTGCTTCCATGACCAATATCGTAGCACTGTGTCATACCCCATAATCTAATTTGAAAAAAAATATTTCTTTTATCTTTTAATTAACAATGAGGGCAATCTATTTTTTTCAATAATAAAATAATAGCATAAATGAATATATATATATCAAAACATTAATGGACATCTGTAATTACTATCAAAAAATTATGCACAATACTCAAGAGTCATATAAATAAAATAATCCATCTCCACACTCTTTAGTGCCAAAAAAATATAAAAGACGAAAAAAAACAACAATAAAACCCAAGTAATCTTGTAACTGGTCAGTCTCACACTCCCGGTCTTCTTTCCTAATTTGAAATCATTTAAACCACATATAATGATTTAAAAAATCTAGCAGGTCATTACCATCCTACAACTAAACTCAAAGCATGATAAGGAAACCAATATACATGTAATCACTTAGTTCATAATAACACCAACCAATATAATCATGAATATATTCATAAATAATAAAGCACATGTTGTAGTAGTGAAATTTGTAAACCAGTACGGCATCGTCAAACAATAAAATAGCAAACAATCATTCTTAAATCATATGTCATAATGGAGTTATCTAGTAAATAAAAAAAAATCATAAATTAGTAAAATTAAAACATCTATGAAGTCTGTCAGAATCCATAACAATATAATACTGTCAAATATCTATTTTATATTAAATGCTTAGTAGTAATAAATCATTAAACAATAAATTAATAGCAGTAACATTCATATTGAATCAATAGCATTAGACAAGTCATAGTAACAGTATCAGTATTAGTAAAACCTGTAATAGTAATAGTAAAATAGCACGATAATCGTAAATTAGTATAGTGGCAACAAATCAATGCAATAAATGCATCAGTATAATTATACTAAACAAGTTAGAAGTTCTAGCTTAAACAGTGTTTTTTAAGTAATCAGTAACTATTGGCTCAATAAATATAATCATCACTCTTTGCTTATCGACATAGTAATTATATTTTTATAATTCTCAATCAGTGAATTACCTAAATTGATAGAGGATAATACCAACCTATAGTATTTAAATGAAAGTTTCTTGGCCAAAACCATCCTATATAGGTTAATTAGTCAACATTAGTGAATAACCAGCCTTTACTTATTGTCATACACATTATTACTATAAAATTATAAAAATAATAGTTATCAACTATCACTCACACCTAATATTCATTCAAAATGTTTTCATTAATAATTTAAGCAGATTAAAATATAAAAATTAATATTCTTCTTAAATTGTACAAAATGCAATAATTATACTCTTAACAGGTGAAAATATAAAAACAACTAGTCAAAATGATCAAAATAATCACTACTACAATATACCAAAAGTTATACGATAAAAGTTTATTAAATCCAGAGAAAATGCAAAAAAAAATATTTTTGGAGAAATCAAACAGTAGAACTCAAAATCTTTCAAAATTGAAAAAGGATAAGAATCACCTACAACGATCTAAAGAATTTTCATAAAAGCAATGAAACTAATTGGTGGTCAAAAACCCAAATTCCTCTTTCCTCTGTCCTCCTTCCCCTTTCTATCTTCTTTCCTTCCTTGACAAGCAAAAAAAATTTCTCACTGCTTTCTAAGCCTGTTTTCTAGTTCAAAAATTTCTTAAAAGTGGTGAAAAAATAGTAGTCAAAAGCTATCCCAAACAAAGCCTTACAAACATTGCTTTAGCCGCTTTTGTGGATTGGATATTCCAAGCATTCTTTTAAAAAATTAATTAGAGTGGTATTTTTGAAAGAAAAGGGGTATTATGCAAATTTATTAAATAGTTTAATTTTTAGTTTAAGAGTTCAAAACTTTAGGAATTGATTTTTTTTAGATTTTAGTTGGGTTGTTTTTGTTGGCTTTAGTTTTTTTTTTTTTTTTTTTCAATACATTGTTCTCATTTTATTTGACTAAGCTTGTTTCTAATTGAAGTTCATTAATCCTCTATAGGATTTTATAATACATCAAAGAAGAGATATGGTTATAATTGAATTAATTAAAAGGGATATTGTATAATAAAAATTAGGTATAAGACTTATAATTACATATTCTATTCTTAGTCAATTCAATTTAATATAATTTGTGTTTATAAAATTTTGAATATAAATCAAATCAAATAAGTAGGTTTAGATAAAATATTCATAATTAAATCAAATCAATTTAATTACTTTGATTTTGATTTTCAATGTAAATACATTTTAGCTCAACCCAATTTATAAGCAATGAAAGCGAAGAATATAGAACAAAAATGGATGGCCATGAAAATTCTTCATCTTGAAATAAGGAAAGGATATAAAATTTAAAAAAAGAGAAAAAGAATTACATTCAGAAAATTGAAATTTTTTTAATGAGCTGCTTTAATTCTCTTTATAAATTATTCACATCTCAAAATAAGCGAGAAAAATTTAAAAATATGCTACAGAATATTTGGCACTCTAAATATGAAAGAATTAATAAAAATCTTTCCATTTTTTTTTTAAGTGTTTCATTTAATTTGGGTCTTTTCGTTGCTTTGTTTTTTAGACAGCGTTTTATTGCTTTCTTAAAAACAGTTTTTTAATGTAAAAATTAAGAAACAGTAAGAAAATCGTCTCAAACGAAGCATTAATTTAGCGACTACTTTTTCACTGTTTTTAATAAATTTTTATAATGAAAAACTAATTTTTACTATCAGAATAATAAATTTATTTTTTCCATAACAACTATACAAATAACTTTATAAAATAGTGCTGCCATTCCAAACTGACTTAAAACGTGAAAAAGAGATCAGTTTTATAATCTTCTCATCATTTATTTATTTGTTAATATCAATAGTTTCTTATATTTATATTTATGGCTGTCTTTAGCAACATTTGATTTTTTTTATTTCATTTAATTTTATAAAATTGATATATCATCAAAAAATTATATGGATCAGGCACGAATCTCTAGGCAAAATTAAGTTGGAAACTTCAAAATTAAATCGGAGACCATCTAAACTCCGATTTCAACAATCTTACAGTCGAAGTGAACGTCTCAAAAATATGAATCCAAGCAAAGAAACAAGGACGAGAAGGAAGAAAAGGAAGAAAAGAAACTTTAGTTCTCTTGCCACTAGACTCCTCGACCTTCATTGGACTTCCACCCTGCAGTCTACTGATGTTGAACTTTTGTCTGTTGCCGAACTTTCATCGAACTTCTACCCTATGCCGAATTTTCGCTCGTCGCTGGACCTCTGCCCGTCGCCAAGATTTCGTCGGACTTCAGCCCAACATCGAAGTTCCTCCCGTCACCGGACTTCTGCCCGTCAACAAACTTTCTTCGGACTTCTACTCGGCATCAAAATTCCACCCGTCGTCGGACTTTCATCGGACTTCCACCCGACGCTGAACTTCCACCCGTCGTCGGAGTTCTGCCCGTCTCCGGACTTTCGTTGGACTTCTACATGATGCCAGACTTCCGCCCTTCAACGATACTTCTGACATCTGTCACCAGACAACGGTTTTTACGACCTCCGTTGCGCCTCCAACTATGATTCTTCCGATCAAACAAACACGCCAATATTGATTATTCATATTTCCACCATGTAATGCAGTCAATATGATGTATATTTGTTACTTCAAGTCAAAGCCTTCCTCCCAAAGAAGGGCCTCATTTGTAATCAAGAGATAAAAATATGACGCAACAAAAATTATTTATTTCATAACTTCTTGAGAAAATAAAGAGATAAAAATATATGAAAAAAATATGATTTCTTACAATGTAAATTATATTTGATATTGATAAAAAAAAAATAACCTTAAAGAAGTATTATTATCTAACAAGAAATTGAGATCAACATTAGAGGTTAGCTAAATTGATAAAAAAATATATTTAATTTTAGTTAATCCAACTCATTAAATAATGATATGGCTTTCCTTAAATGTGGATTTTTTTCGAGAAAGTACACAGGAAGGAGTGAAGTGTGAAGGCCTGTGCTCCTATGGCAGTAATTCCGTTTTAAATGACGCAGTTATTATCGCCTCAGCATCAGGTACGAAAGCGAGACTCGAGAGCTACCAGGTGTAGCTCAGATTAAGAGAGAGAAAGAGAGAGAGAGGGGGGGCCAGAGGCGGCTGACAGGCTTGAGCTCTTATTACTTTCGGGCCGGGAGTGATGTGGAGCAGTTGGTGGGCTTGGACTTCAATACAAAGAACTTATTTTGACAATACATAACGAGCAAACTATAATGGCATAGCCCATGCCAAGCTATTTCTAGGTGACTCGGTATCTTAAATATTTTTTGCCAAATAGAGTAATGCTAAGCTGATTAAAATTTTTTTTATATTTTTTTAAAATATTGGACCCTATTTTTATATGCAAAATTTTTTTATATTATAAGGCCTTATTTTTATTTTTAGACTTCCTAGTTTCTGTTTTGCTATTATTTTGTATTTGCTTTCAAATAATTTCAGAACTACTAAGGTTTCTTTTATGATGACGTTCTTATTGCTCTTTTATTTATTTTGTATTAAAAAATTGTTCTAAGAAGCAATAAAAAAGACATCCCAAATGAAACATAAAAATTATTTTTCTCTTTCCTTCATAATCATAGTTCTTGTTTGACTATTATTTTCTCTTTGCTTTCAAGTAAATTTAAGAACCATAAAGCAGGAAATTATTACATGCGGCGTCCGGAGGTGAATCCGGATGCGCCACGTCAGCCAGGGCCCAATGCATATGGATTCGCCTCCGGACGGTCTGGACACGTAATAATCTCTCCCATAAAGCTACTTTTCATAATAGCTTTCAAAAAAAATATTTTTTTTCAGGAATTAAATATTTAATTGCCCTTTGCCCTTTGGCCCCTTTCTAAGAAATTGTACTTCCCAAAGAACTCTTACAGGTTCGTTTTCTTTTTGGATGAAAGCCAACAAGCTGTTAGGTGGGTGAAGAAAGAGCCCGTATTTATTAACTGAATGCATTTGGTTTCACAAAAAGCATGCATGGTTTATAAATATGTCAATTATATAATTACCGAACTGACAAAATTGTTTTCGTATTTGTCAAAAATTACCACTGATGCCATCTGCTGAATGCTATCGAACAGATGTTTGTTGAAATGTTTCTCTATAGAAAAAGGACTGAAAATAAGAAAACCTGAACATTCCCGTTTTCACTTCTCACACTCTCTTCTTTATAATATATTCCTCTCCACTGTTTACAGAACAAGGCCAGAACTTAACATTGGAAGTCCAGTGGGCTCTGTTGCCAGCCTCTATAAGGTGCCGTTAACCCCTTTCAGTGGTGATTCATTTAGAACGATTGAAATTGAATTCAGTAAAAAAGTAAGAAGATTTTGAAAAGAAAAAAAATTTGAATTCAATTTTGACCGTTGGGTGAGCAAACTGCACCATAAAGTTGAACCAGAGTGCTGAAAAATCTAAAGATCAGTGGAGGAATGATAAATTCATCCAATGATTTGAAGATTTGAACTCTGAATTAAGCGGCAAAAAATTTCCTGGTTAACCTTCTAACTATGGAGGATTCGAAACCGTTTTAGTTGCATAAGAAACAATGCAGTTTTGATAGAACTTATCGTTATAATGTAACCTTTTCCCACTCTTTTCATTCAGAGAGAGAGAAAAGAGAGAGGGAGGGAGAGCACGCGAGCGAGTTCGAGGCGCCACGGTTTTTAAAAAGGTGAGAGTGGCCGCTGACGCTTCGACTCCTCTTGCAGGAATTGTTCCACAGCTCGGAGACTAGGTCCCAGCACGTGGCGCTCCCATGCCGCCGCCTCCGCCTCCCGTCCACGGCCGGCGAGCCGCGCGTCGACCACCGGCGTTGCATCCACCCTTTGCATAGGCCATCCCATCTCCCCAAGCCGCACTATCTTCCTCACCTGCTCCACCGCCAGTCGCCGCGTGTTCTTTTTAATCGCCGCCACCGCCTCTTCGTAAGCCGCTGCCGTCCTTATTCGGAAATATTCTCTTAACTCCGGGACCCCGATGGCCTTTCCCAGCCCGGGGTGCCGCTCTTCCGGCGGCGGTTGCTCGCCGGCAAAGTACCTCTCCAGCTCCTCCACCATCCCCATACCCACCATGTCGTCCACCCTCCGGTCCAGATGCTCAGCAAGCACCTCCGCCTCCACGTCAACCCACAACAAGCAGCTCCGGTACCGTAACCGATGCCTCGCCGCGTAATCTGCGGCAAACGGGTTTTCCCTTTCGTCGTATCGATCCACCATCATCGCGTGTATGTAAGAGTTGGATCCGCCGGCGACCACCGGAATTCTCCCCCGCGCCGCTATCCTTGCCACCGCCCCCCTCGCCAGCGAGCGGAACCCCGCCGGCGGAAGCTCGCCTGCTGCAGGGTCCAGCTCTCCTAGCAAATGGTGCGGGACTCCACATCTCTCTTCAATCGGCATCTTGTTGGTAGTGATGTCCAGACCGCGGTAGACCTGAATCTTGTCCGCGTTCACCACCTCCCCCTGAAACTTGGTGGCGATATCAATGGACAGCTTCGACTTCCCCGTTCCCGTCGCGCCCATGATCACCACCACTCTTTCCCTCTGCTTCCTCCCGCTCTGAAAACGGTTGCCGGCTACCGCCGCCGCAGTCCTCGCGGTTCCACTGCCGCGAGAGAATAGAATTGTCATATAGAGTTATCACCGCGAACTCTCCTCCTCAAATGCTCGCCAACTGTTTGCGAAATGCCCATTCAACGCAGCCCGCCGCTTCTCGTACAAATTTTGTTTTTTCCCGTTGCACGCCGCGTTAGAGCGTCGTTCTACTACTCCATTTCCCCCTTTTTATTAACAGCTCTTGTTAATGATTCATTTAGCCATGCGGATTCATTAAATAATGGGCTTTGGTATTAGCCCTGATTAAAATAAAAAAGAAGAAAAGAAAATGTGAGTGGTAGCGGGTGAGCCAGTAGAGTAATATAAAACAGTACAAATACTGGAAGCAAGTATATGCGTTGGTATATGTTGGGGAAACTGGGGCACCGGGCATATAATAAGGGCACGCTTAGTGTTGGGATCAGCTTCCGGCGCAGGCGCTGTCGATCGGTGAAGAAGCAGAGGGGTCGTGCGCGCCAGGGCCGACTGGGTTGACCGGCTGGGAGGTGGGCTCGTGGCTCCGCTTCTGTTGGTTCATATTCGGAAGCAGGAGACGGGCTCACATGTGGTGTGTATAACTGCCTCATTCCTCTTTCAGTTTTGTTGTAGGCCCCAATGAGATGTAAGGAATTATTCATGGTTCAAAGGCGAATCAGAACTAGCGGTGCACAGAAAAAAATGATGTAATGTATTTATCATTCATCTTTAGACACCGTTCGATGATCATACAGAATAATTTTTTCTGCGTGCCACTTCCCGCGGAAAAAGTTGAATTAGGGGAATTAAATTCATGCATTGTAGGAGTTTTAAATATTTGACTAGGTGAATAAGTACACTTCATAAATAACATAATATTCATTTGTATAATATTTATTTATTTACCTTATTGAAGAAATCATGATATTATCTTTATTTAATCATTTGTATTTATAAACATACCCGTTGTTATTTAATGAATAGCTTGATAAAAATATAATAAAATGTTAATTTAAACCCACCGATAATTAATTTGGTTGGTGGGTGAGCACGGTTAGGAATCCCCTAACCCGGGCTTGATTTTTCTCTAGCAGCAGTGCCTCTTAAGTGCGGCCCAATCAAGTGCGGGCCAGGAGGTTCTTGGGATGGGTGTCTCTTTTAGGTCAGCTGAAGATTAGTCATGCCGCCAAACGCCCTTTTGAGGGTGGTAGTGGGTGGATTCCCAATTCCCAAAAGAAAAATTCATTTAATGATACCTTAATTTTTTTTTGTTTAATGATTCATTTTATATTATTATATTAATAATTCTATGAATTATGCACTTTAAGCACTATGTATATTATTAGATGCATATATATGATAAAAATTTTAAATAAATCATTAGATTGGTCGATTTAAATCTTTTTACTTAATATTTAAACTTATACAAATAATTTAAATAACATCAAATGAATTATGCCAATTATTATAAAGATTATAAATTTTACATCAAACATATAATTAATTAGTCATAACTAAGGCTTCGTTTGTGACGATTTTTTGATGCTTCTTAAAACAGCTTTTTAGTACAAAAATTTTGAATTTTATATAAGAACGATGCTTTAAGAAGCATGGGACCGCTATTTTATTGCTTCGTTTTAAAAAGCAATAAAAAAACCGTACCAAACAAAGCCTAAAGTTCAATTTCAACTCAAGCTTCATAAAAAAAAAAAAACTAATAAACATGTTTGAACAAAAATTTAAAACTTGGATAATGATTAAGTTTGACTTCAACTCAATTAAATAAAAATACACGAACAAGTTTGAGCAGTATAACATTTACCTCATCTCGATTCATTTACAGCTCTATATTTGACAGAAATTTGATTTACCCGAACAAATATATTTCATAATTGGTGTCTTCATGAAAGTATGTAAAAAATGATTTTCTTGCCCTCATAGAGCAAAATGAAATCAACTTACTATAATTTCAATTTCAAAAATGATTATTATTGTCATGTTGTATGGAATCCCTCATAAGAATATGTTAGATTTCTTAAAACCTCTCAACCAACATACAATTCCAAGAGCATATTGACCAGGCTTAAATATGTTTAAAAAAATGCCTTAAAAAAATTAATAAAAATTATGTCTCAATAATATAATATAAATTTAACACAAATAATTAAATGAATAAAATACTTTTTTTAATTTATTTTAATATAATTTATATCAAATTTTAATTTATTTTAATATAATTTATATCAAAATATTATTCTATAAACAGTGCACAAAATAGGCATTGCCGATCAAATGCCTTTTTTGTTTTCTTTTTCCCCATGGGTCTCATCTCTAGCATTTTGTACTTCATTGACATCATAATTGACAGTGTCATATTAACTAATGACCCTATGTTAACTTAGGCAAATTATTGCGTCCGGTCACCTGACATGCGGACATCCAATCCGGACACGCCACAACTGATACGTCATCATGAAATTATCTTGATCGGGCACGAATCTCGAGGCAAAACTCAAATAGGAAACTTCAAAAATTAATTCTGGGAGCATCCAAACTCTGATTTCAGCAAGCTTATAGTCAAACTGAGCATCTCGAAAATACGAACCCAACGACACCAAGATCAACCCAA